CGCTCTGGGGCGCCACGGAAGATACCGCGGAGATCGTTGACAATTGCCAAAGGCCGCCCGACCACAAATTTGTTCTGGGGCGGCGGAGACGCTGCTGGGGAGCGCTTGAGAAGCCGCTGAAGGGCGCCTTAGAGGTTGCCAAGGACCGTTCGAAAATCTGCTTAAGTGGCACGCAGCAACTGCTCAGAAGCGTTTGAAAAGCTACGAGTGGGTGCCGCACAAGCTGCACAGGCGCTGGGGCGCTTTAAACATCAGCAAAGGAGCAGAGGAGCTTTGTAAGTATTGGCGAGGAGCGTTTTAACAAGCTGCCAGTGAACGCCATGAAAGCTACTGACAGGCGCCTTGAGAGCTGCGCTGCATTTAATGGCTGCCAAGAAGCGCCCTATAAGACACGAAGGAGCGCGCCGCCGAGGATCGTTTTAGATTTGCCGGCGGCCGCCTTAAGCTGCTGTTGAGCCCTCTGAAAGCTGCCAGCTGGCGCCTTGAAGAGCGCCGTGAATGCTGCTATAGAGCGCCTTGCAATCTGCCAAGGAGCGCCTTATTTTTTTTGCTGCCAGGGAGCACGTGAAAAGCTGCCAAGAAGCGATTTACAAACTGCCCATGCGAGATTAAAAGCTGCCAAGGGCGGATTACACGTCGCTGAGGAGCCCCTTAAAATCAGGAGGGAAAAAAACACACAGACACAATTAATCCTCGATTCCCAGGAAAATATGGGAAAATATGGGAATTGGGGGAGAAGACAAAAACCCAGAAAATATGGGAAAATATGGGGACTAAATTTATTTGTGTGTATTTATTTGTGTGTCCTAATTTCCCTTTATAAAAACTGTTCAGGAGCGCCCTGAGAGCTGCTAGGGAGCGCTTTTAAATTAATCGATCTTCCAAACCTTCACGACATCAGAGCTTGCAGCGAGGGGGGGGGGGGGGCAGTGCGCCGGAGAATGGGCCAGTGTGCCAGAGGGCCGATTGTGCTGCCCGCGCCTCTTCCGCGGGCGCTTCCGCCGTTTTTGCGCTGCTTCCGGTCCCCGAGGGAATCGGCAAGGGGATTGGCGGCATCATGTCGTCAACGATTTGTCGTCGCGCGTCGGCCAGCGCGCTCGCGCGCCCACCCTCAGCTCCCCTGCCCGCGGGCGTCGGCGCTTCGAAGGCCCCCTCCTCCACGGGTTTCTCTGCCGGTGGATCCGCCGCCAGGGGTGGGCGACTCCCGCGGGGCTGAGATATGGGATCCGGTGGAAAAAGCCCAAAGCATAGCGTCTGAAAAAGGATGGTGGAGGAGCGTCTGGGCCCCGGGGGGTCGCCGGCCCTGGGCTGGACGGGCAGAGTTGGACTTCGGGCGCGCGCTCGTCGAAGAGCCCCCCGCGCATGGGCCCCGTGGTTGGCCTGCCCAGGGCGCCCGGGAGAAACGAGAGCTCTGTCGGGCCCACAAAGCCCCCGAGGGCTCCGCGCCGAGGGGTCTGCGGTGGTTTTCGAGTCCCAGATGTGAGGCATGCTGTCGGGGCGCGCGGCCCGCGGGGCTCTGTGCTCGAGCCCGGCGGCCGCTGCCGACCCCTTAACCAGCCCGCCTCCAGGAGCTGCCGGGGCCACGGAGGCCCGACCCTTTCCATCCGGGCGCGCCGCGGCCTCGGCGGCGGCGGCCGCCCCCGAGTTCTGCGGCGTCGGTGAACGCATCGCCGGCCGCGAGCAAGCGGAGGACGCGGTCAGCGCGGCGTCGAGGGCTCGCGCCATCAGCGGGGGGGCCCGCCCCTTGAGTTTTGCGACGTCGGTGAACTCATCGCCAGCCGCGAGCAAGTGGAAACGCGGTCAGCGCGGCGTCGAGGGGCAGCGCCATCAGCGGGGGGGGGGGGGCCGCCCCGAGCCGGCCCCGCCTCCCCGCGGAAGGCCGAAGCGGATCGCTGCAGCAAGTTCGGGGGTAAAGGCCCTGGCCCTGAGGAGTCGGGAGTTGAGATTCTGTCTGCCCCGCCCCCCTTTCAGCTTCGCCCTTGCGAGTCGAGTGAAGGAGAGAAGTCCAGAGAGAAAGCCAGAACGGTCGCTGCGGGTAGATTCCACCTCGGGCGCGTCAGCGCGCTCTCAGATGCTGCTTTGACGGCGCTGGCGAGTATGTTCTGGGTTGCCGAATCAACTGGCTGTCTTCCTGGCCAGGTCCCCGTGGCCCTCTCGGCCCAGGCCCTCGGCGGGCTCTCGCCCCGTCGGCGCCTCGTTTTCTGGCGCCGGCTCCGGGGCAGATCCCGCAGACCATTGGCGCTGCATTGGGGGTTTGACAGCCACGGGGACTATTGGGCTGCCGGCATTCATGGAGGAGCGGCCGACCTAGGTTGGGCTCGGGCGTCCACGGCCGAAGCGGGATTTCCGCCAACATGTTGCTGCGCCTTTTCATGAGGAAGTGCAGCGAGAGAGAGCGCTTCCTGCGATCACTTGCAGCGCCAGCGCGCGGCTCTTGACTTCCCGCCCTGCATCGCCAAGGTTTGCCTGTCAGCTCGTCGCGCAGTCAGGCGCCGTTATTTGGGCGGTCTGTTCGCGGGCCTTTCTGGGTTCAGTCTGGAGAGGTGTCTGGTTGCTCCACGGCCATCAGTTTCATGATGTTGTCTGGTGGTTTTGCGATGTCGGCCTTCGGTGGAATTCTCAGGCAACCTGGCGCCGACTTCGGCGCTTGCATGGACGGCGCCAGCCTGCAATGATCGGGCCCCATCCAGTCATGCGGAAGATCTCGTCTCCAGTGCCAAAGGCTTCCCTCGCGCAGTCGCTGAGGTCCTGGGCTGTTCCATGGCCATGGAGAAGACAGGGCTTGTCCGCGGCAGCAAGATCGTCGCCCAGCAACTCGAGTCGTGCCCAGGTGCGCTGTCTGGTCAGGCCGCTCCGCCAGCTACAAAGGTCAGGTGCGCGCGGCGCTGCCGGCGCGCGCTCGGGGCCAGAGGTGCAGGCAGAGGGCGCTGCAGCAAGCTGGAAGCATGGGTGGCCTCGGCGCGTTGGAAAACCACTTGGCATCGCTCGGACGTGTTCATTTTTCCTTCGGCGAGGACCATCGAAGAGCATCCTCGATCGTTTGGCGAAAAATCCACGCACGAAACCGAAGAAAAAAAACACAGGGAATAGACGTCCGAGCGATGGCCAGTGGGTGGCCTCGGCGCGCTGGAGAACCAGAAGATTTAGCACGCGGTCGGAGGTTGTGCGCCGCCGCAAGGCCGTGCGCAGCTCCGCCTCGGGGCACCCTGGCCAGCGGCGCGCGCCGCGCTGGACACGTCGCGGCATCGGGCTCCCGCTGTGTTCCTTGTGCCCCCTTTGGGCATGTCTGCATTTGCCTCGCGCTCTCGTCGCAGGTCCTCGACGACCACGCGCGCTTTGGAACACGGCCCCTGGGCCGGGTGGGCGAAGGAGCTTTTGCGGATTTTGCTCTCGTCCCCTTGGGCGTGCCGTCGCTAGCAGGGCGGCGCGCGCGGCTTTTGGGGCTCGGGGGCGCTTCTGCCCGGGAGTTATGGTCTTGGGCTCGGGCTTCGGGCCCCGCCGGTGCTCTTCGGATGCACCTCTGCCGGCCAGGCTGGTCGATGCCTGGCGGTGTCTTGTCCATCCGCAGGGCAGCCGGGAGCGTCGTCTCCTTGAGTTCACTGCGAGGTGCCGCGCGCCAGCCGTCACGGCGACGCATCGATGTGCATTGCGCCGCGGCCGGTGCAGGTCCGTGGAAAATGAGCATTGCGTCTGGAAGGACGGCTGCGTGCGGATTGAGAAAGGCGAGGGGGATGTGACATAGGTAGGGCGGCGCACGATCAGCAAGACAGGTTGGGCAGCGCCGAGATCTTCGCCGTGAGCCCCAGCGGCAAAGCTCAGGGCAGATGTTCGGCAGTCTGTGGCCGCCCAGGGCATCGGTGCCGAGGGTAGCGAGTTCGAGGCTCGCCCGCCCTCTGCGTCTCCGCATTTCGGCTACCTTCCGACACTGGGGTCATGCCTCCACCCAATGGACGGGTCGTCCTGCAATTGTATCTGCTGCAAGTTCCAGGAACATTGGGTCTGCCGCGACGGCCGCTGCGGCGGCTGCTGCCGCTCCGAGCGCACGGGGACGTCGAAGCGCGCGCCGCGCGGCCCACTGTGTGGGCGGGCTTGAACTGACGCCGGCGAGCCGTCGTCACGTCATGTTTTCAGGGAGGATACCCATTGTGTTGGGAAGCGTCAGCGTTGCACGATGGCCAGCGCGTGGGGCGCCATGACCAAACTCTCGGCGCTCTAAGTTTCATGGGGGCATCCCGCATGTCCTTTTCGCAAGCGCGTGATGATTGTGCGTGGGCGCGATCCCTTGTGAGGATGGGGGGCTTGCCTCTCGAGTATGATAATATGTCTCACGAATTTCAATTCGAATTGGAAATTGGGGGGTGAGGCGGGTGCTGTCGCTGGTGCGAATAGTCGAAATTCATCTTTCAGATGAACTCCGGAAAGCCGATTCCCCATTCCTTCACCACATGGTAATCAAAAACTGAGTCCGGCATCATTCGATTTGCGATGGAATCGCTGCGCAAGGCTTTTTGGATAAAACGGGGTTGGGCAAGGGAGGGGTATCAGGAGGGTATGGAGAGTAGGGAGGTAGGGAGGGTAGGATTCTGGATTGCACGGCAGACTGGGCACAAAATTTGCCAGGAAAACTGCATTCAGTTTTGCGAATAAAAACCGGAGCTGGACCCCAAGCAGAGCAAAGCAGGAGTTGGCGAGGAGGAGGAGCACAGGAGGAGGAGGAGGAGGAGGAGGAGGAGGAGAAGGAATATGTAGGAGTAGCTTTGGGAGGAGTAGGAGCAGGAGTAGGAGGGAATGAGGAGGAGAAGGAGGAGGAGGAGGTGGAGGCGGAGGAAGTGAAGGACGAGGCGGAGGAGGAGGAGGAGGTGGAGGAGGAGGTGGAGGAGGAGGGAGGAGGAGAAGGAAGAGGACGAGGAGGAGGAAGGAGGTGGAGGAGGGAGAGGAGGACGAGGAGACGAGGAGGTTTAGAGAAGCGCAGCGAGCTCGTCGTCAAGGGGCCCGCCGAGGCCCGGGTGCTCGATGGGCAGGGACGTGCAGCTCGCGACGTCGAAGCGGCTGGAGCCGAGCGCCGAGGACCTACACAGCACCGCCGGGGGGCTCCCCCGGCCGCGCCGGGGGCCGCCACGGCGCCGCCCGCCGCCGCGCGGGATCGTCGCAGGGGCACCTCTCTCTCGGGAGCGGACAAGAGGAGGAGGAGGTAGGGGAGGGAGGGGAGGGGAGGAGGAGGAGGAGAGGAGGAGGAGGAGGAGGAGGAGGAGGAGGAGGAGGATGCATCCAAGCTGTGGGCGGCTATGGGCGGGGCCGGCGGGGCGACCTGAGCAGCGCAGGCAGGCTGACGCGGACTTCCGAAGGCAGGCGAGCCTTCCCGGAGATGGGGCGATCCAGTGAGGCTCGGGGGCGGCAAAGAGGGGGGTGATGAATAGGGGGGGGGGATATCATGGCGGGGGCCATGATCTTTCCCCAGATCTCGTGGCGCCTCTTCTTAGTTCATTACGTCCCTGGCCCCCCCGCTGGGCCGCGCACATGCCGCCGGTCATGATTTGCACCCCCCCTCTTGGACACCCCCCTCTTGGCCGCTCCCGAGAGGCTGAACGCTGCCCACCAGCCCAGGAAGCGCTGCCTACCCAGAGCCCCTCGGGCAAGGCAAGAATCACGACTTGCGTTTTTGCCTAAGTTTCGGCCTCCGGGGACCCCTTACCGGCCTCGGTGCCGTCAAACAACGGCTCAGGATGAGAAATTGGTCCTGGGGATTGGGTCGAGAACTCTGGGGATCGACGCAATGGAAAAATCACGGCGTCGGGGGTCTGGGTAAAGAGCTGCGCGGGAGCCCGTGCGCGAGCTCAGGCCAGCGCTGCGCCTGCGCAGGCGCCGGCGGCCCGCGTTCTGAGAAGGAGCAGGGCAGCAGCGCTCGCGGGACACGCTTCGGCCTCCAGCAGGCCGCCGCGGCGCGGCGGGAGGGGCCCATCGCGGACGGGCGGGCGGGCGGCAAGAGGGGGCCAGCGCGCACGAGCGCCTGCGCGGCGGGCGGAGAGGGCGGACCCAACATCGTCGCGACGTCGGGCGGGCGGGTGGGCCCCGATGGGTCGGCGGGGGCGGGCCGGGCCGCATGACGGGCGGGCATTGAAGTGAGCGGGCGGGGCGGGTGGAGTCTCGATGGGCCGAATGAGGAGGACAAGGAGGCCATCCCCGCCACCATCGGCATTGCCGTCAGCATGACCATCCGCATTCTCAGCATGGACATCCGCATCCTCGCCACTGCCGTCGTGGACGCCGCGCTCGCCGTCGCCGTCGCCGTGAGCGGCGGGCGGGCGGGCCCTCGCGAGCGGGCGGGGCCGTCCGTGCGGACGGGCGTTCACGGGCGAGCGAGCGTCGCCAAAGCGGGCGTGCCTTGAGTCAAACGGGCGGGCGGGTCTTGAGGGGCGTGCGCGCGCGATGGGCGGTGCGGGAGCGCCCCAGATGGCGGGCGGGCCGTAACGGGTGGGCGGGCAGTCTTGGCGGCCGGCGGGGCAGGATGACCACACCTCGGATGGATGGGCGCGGACCCTGGCAGGCTGGCGGTGTGAGGATCGAGGTATGGACAAGCCTCTCTTTGCCCTTGCCCACATCTCCCTCATCCCTCCCCTCCCTCCTCCCCCCCCCTCTCCGCCCATCCCCCCTCCTCCCCATCCCTCCTCATCTATCCTCCCTCCCTCGTCCCTCCTCCCCCATTCCCCTCTCCCCTTCCCCCTGCTTCTCCCCTACCCCTCCTGTGCTCAACCCAGCCTCGCGCTCCCTCCCGACTCCGCCCGCCCGGGGTGATCCCGGCGCCGCCGCAGGGGCCGCGGAGGCCCGTCCGCTCCCCCCCCCCCTTTGCCTGCGATGCCCCCGGCCGATGCTCCCTCTGCCCTCCCCCGCCCCCCGTGCTCCTCCCCTCCTTTCCTCTCCGTCCTTCCCCCGCCCCTTCCCCATCTCCCTCCCCTCCCCACCCACCACCCGTCGCCCCCTGCCCCGCCCCTTCTCCCCCCTCGACACCTGCAGAGGTCTGCGTGCTGCTCTCCTGCTCCCCCCGACTCCTGTATGATGTGCGGCGGCCCTCTCGGCGTGCTGTGCTTCTTCTGTTTTTGCCCCCCCCCTTTCAGAACCTTTTTTCCCAGCTTTAGCTTTCAGTGTAGTGTTGTGTGTTCTATGTTTGTCTTTCTTTTCATGTTGTTGGCCATGCTTCGATGCTATACCGACGTAGCTTTCACGCTTTGCATTTCATTACTATGCCATACCTATTCATCGAAGTTTGAAATGTGCAATCGGACTGGTTTCGGTCCTTCTGCACTGTGCTCCCGCTGCGGCGCTGGCCTCACTCGGGGGATCGGCGCGCCGCTCCCGCCGCGCAGAATTTTGCGCGATTCCTCGCCCGAGCGCGGGCCTCCTGCTCAGGCTCCGAGAGTCTCTCCTTGCCGCTGTCGCCCCCCTCTCTTGTTTTTGTTTTTGTTCCAGCTCCCGCTGCTGCTGTTCGTCCTCGTCCTACGCCTCTTCCTCCTCCGCCCCTCCTGTGTCCCCGTTTCCGACTGCGCACTGCGCGGTCTGGGGCCTTGTGGGGACTTCCAAGTCCGCAATGGCACGCAGCCCCAGATAGAGACAAATTCAGTGGATTGGGAGGGCTAGGATGCCAGATACTGCGCGAGCGCACTTAGCTTGCCCTTCTCCCCTCTTCCTGCTCCCCTCCCCATCGTCTCCCTCCCTGTCTTTCTGTCTCTCTCTCTCTCTCTCTCTCTCTCTCTCTCTCTCTATATATATATATATATATATAAAATATCATCTGTGCCCCGCTCACCTTCTGTCTCCTCTCTCTCTCCTCCCTCCCGCCGTCCGTGGACTCGATTCGCCTGGCCCCCCTCCGGCCCCCCGCCCTCTCGACCCCAGCCCGGCCCCGGGGGCCAGAACCGGCCTTTGCGGGCGCCGCTCGCCCGCCGTCTTCCGCTGGCGGGTATAGCCTCGTCTGCCTCCTCGTCGCCGCCGCCGCCTCTTGCCGTCACTCGTTCCCTTCCCTCCTGCGGAGTCCGAGCTCTGCGGCGGCTCTTCCAGCGCGGCCGCACGTCGCTCGGGCGCACTGGCCAGGCCTCCTCCTTCCGGGCTCTGTCGGAGGCGCCACCCGCCTCTGGGGGTGCGGCAGTGGTACGCCGCCGCAGCCGCCGCCACCGCCGTCGCCGCCGTCGTCGTCGTCGTTGCGTCGTCGTCTTCGTCGTCGTCCCCGCCGCCCGCAGGAGCGGAGCGGGGCGTCCAAGTACGACGGCTACTCCCTGCGGTGGGGACGGTGGGGCTCCACCTGGGCCAGCCACGATTCAGACCTCCAGCGTCGGCGCCAAAAGTCGTGACGACGACAACCGCGTCCTCGTCTTTTTCGTCGTCGTCTTTTTCGTCGTCGTCTTTTTCGTCATCGTCTGTTCCGTCGTCGTCGTCGTCGTTGTCCCCCTCAGCGCGTCTTCGGCCTCGAGAGGGCCTTGAAAAAAGCCCATGATTTTTGACATGGCTTCGTCGGTTTGGCTCTGCCGAACCTGAGGAATTGCGACATGGCCTGCATTGGGCTGAAGGCAAAGCCATGTCAAAATTCCTTGGGTCGCGCGCTGCAGAACCCAAGGATTTTTTACATGCTCGCCTTGGGCGAGGCTCTGCCCAACCCAGAGAATTGTGGCATGGTCTGGCGTGGGCTGAAAAGGAAAGCCATGTCAGAATTCCTTGGGTTTTGCGCTGCAGAACCCAAGGATGTTTAACATGCCCTCCTTGGGCGAGGCTCTGCCCAACCCAAACAATTGTGGCACGGTCTGATTCGGGCTGAAAAGGAAAGCAATATCAAAATTCCTTGGGTGTTGCGCTGCCGAACCGAATGGTTTTTGACATGGTCCGCTTGGGTTTGGCTTTGCCAAGTCTTAGGGATTGTGGTATGGCTTGCATTGAGCTGAAGGCAAAGCCATGTCAAAATTCCTTGGGTGTTGCGCTGCAGAACCCAAGGATTTTTGGCATGGTCTCCTTGGGCGAGGTTCTGCCGAAGCCAAGGAATTGTGGTATGCTCTGCTTTGGGCTGAAAAGACAGCCATGTCAAAATTCCTTGGTCATTGCACGGCATAACCCAAAGATGTTTGACATTGGTTCCTTGGGCTTTCGCTTTGCCGAATCAAAGGAATTGCGGCGTGGCCTGATTTGGGCTGAAATGGAAAGCAATGCCAACATGTCAATAATGGTTCTTTGACTGGCTCTCGGTCGTTCGGCCCCTGGGTCGCGCCTTCATTGCCCGGTTTGCATTGTTTTCGGTTGTTTGTCGGTGGTTTATCGTTTGCCTTGGTCGGGCCAGGCCCCATGGTTGGCTCTCGGTCGTTCGGCCCCTGGGGCGCGCCTTCATTGCCCAGTGTGTGTTGTTTTCCTTTGTCTGTCGGTGGTTGATCGTTTGCCTTGGTCAGGCCAGGCCCCATGGTCGGCTCTCGGTCGTTCAGCCCCTGGGGCGCGCCTTCATTGCCTGGCTTGGGTTGTTTTCTGGTGTCCGTCGGTTGTCAGTCGTTGCGACAGTACAAGCAAAACCTATCCCGTACTACGCGGTACTCGCTTTTCTCCCCTTGAGCACAATTTCTCAGAAGACAAGTTCTCAGCGTAGCGGCTCCGAGGAGGGGGAGGGGAGGAAGAGGAGGAGGAGGAGCATGGGGAGTAGGAGAAGGTATTTGCTGTGGGTTTGCCGTGGAGCTGGGGAACAAAAGGAGGTGGAGGGGGAAGAGGAAACGAACGACGAGAAGGAGGGAGCAAGAGCAAAAGCAGGCAGGCTTGAGCGTCAGGAAAAGGAACAGCAAGAGGAGGAGGAGAGCGGAGGAGGAGGAGGAGGAGGAAGAGGCCCTGTGAGCCCTGCGAGAGTGGTTGTCCTCCTCTTTGCCTTTCTGTTTCTCAGTACACAGTCTGTGAGCTCGCATGGCTATTCGGGCCCAGGCGATATCATTAGCCAGGTCGGACCCCACACACCACGCTATTGCACTGCGGATGTATTAACGATGTGTTGTAAGCTATGCGGTGCAACCTACGTGGGTCAAGCTGTGTGTGACGCTTTGGCATGCAAGCTATGTGGAACAATATATGTAATGCAAGCTCTGCCTTGCAACTCATGTGCTGCAAGTTACGTGTTACAAGCTATGTGGGTCGAGCTTGGTATCCGAACGATGCACGGGACTGATGATATAGCGTTTGTTGCGGGTGTCGTGCTATACTGTTAGTTGTTGGCTTATGTAAGTTAAGCGGTAACCGGATCGATAAGCGATAAGCAGCAGCAGGAGCAGCAGCAACCGAGGAGAGAGGAGTATGTTCCGTTTCGGTTTCGGGAAGATATATCTAGAAGGAGTAGCGGCAGCAGATCTTCCTTTGTCTTCTCTCTTGCTCTCTCTTCTCTTCCCTCCTCCCTCCCGGCTTTGCCAGTTTCCGCTGTCCTTCAGCGTCGGGAATACCCGACGCCGCCGCGAAAATGATGTGGGCTGTGCGGGGCTTTCGCCTCGGGGGCTCTGAAGGCTTCGGGGAGCTCAAGAGAACCACGCCCACAGGGATCATGTTGGAAAAATAGAGGGTCATTTGGGAAACTGTTGGAAATAAACGTCAAGAGATACATACGGCTAACAGGAGAATATTCCGTGGTTTCAGTAAAGCTAATAGACACGGCAACGAATATGTTATGGTTTCAGTAACGCATACAGAAATAGTAGCAGAAGAGGAAATCTTGGGTAGGAGAAGTGAGCAAGTGTATGCCTTCAGCGTTTACAATAGTAGTAGTAGTAGTAGTAGTAGTAGAAGTAGTAGTAGTCGTAGTCGTAGTCGTAGTCGTAGTCGTAGTCGTAGTCGTAGTCGTAGTCGTAGTAGTAGTAGTAGTAGTAGTAGTAGTAGTAGTAGCGATAGTGGTAGAATTAGTGGCAACCGAAGCCGTAGTAGTTGTTGTGGTAGTAGTTGTAGCAATCATAGTCGCAGTAGCAATCGTAAAATTAATACAACTAGTACTACATGGAAATTGTAGCAGTAGTAGTAATAGTAGCATGCGTAGCAGCATTCTGATTAAAGTAGTAGTAGTAATAGTAGTAGTAGTAATAGTAGTAGTATTCATAGTAGTAGTAGTAGTAGTAGTAGTAGTAGTAGTAGTAGCAGTAGCAGTAGCAGTAGCAGTAGCAGTAGTAGTAGTAGTAGTAGTCGTAATCGTAGTCGTAGTCGTAATCGTAGTCGTAGTAGTAGTAGTAGTAGTAGCAGTAGCAGTAGCAGTAGAAGTAGCAGTAGTCGCAGTAGTCGCAATAGCCTGAGTAGTAATAGTACAAGTTGTGGTTCTTGTAGTAGTGGTACAGCTGAAGTAGTGGTAGTAGTAGTAGTAGTAGTAGTAGTAGTAGTAGTTGTAGTTGTAGTTGTAGTAGTACTAGTAGTAGTAGTAGTAGTAGTAGTAGTAGTAGTAGGAGTAGTAGTAGTAGTAGTAGTAGTGGTGGTGGTAGAAGTAGTAGTAGTAAGTAGTAGTAGTAGTAGTAGTAGTAGTAGTAGTAGTAGAAGTAGTAGTAGTAGTAGTAGTAGTAGTAGTGGTGGCTGTAGTAGTAGTAGTAGTAGTAGTAGTAGTAGCTAGTAGTAGTAGTACTAGTCTAGTAGTAAAGTAGTAGTAGTAGTAGTCTAGTATAGTGAGTAGTAGTAGAGTAGTAGTAGTAGTAGAGTAGTAGTAGAAGTAGTAGTAGTAGTAGTAGTAGTAATAGTAGTAGTAGTAGTAGTAAGTAGTAGTAGTAGAAGTAGTAGTAGTAGTAGTAGTAGGTCATAGTAGTATTAGTAGAGTAGTAGTAGTAGTATAGTAGTAGTAGTAGTTGTGGCAGTAGTAGTAGTAAGTAGTAGTAGTAGTAGTAGTAGTAGTAAGTGTTGTTATTGTTGTTGTGTTAGTTAGTAGTAAGTAGTTAGTAGTAGTGTAGTAGTAGAAGTAGTAGTTGGTAGTAGTTAGTAGTTAGTAGTAGTAGTAGTAGTAGTAGTAGTAGTAGTGGCAGTAGCAGTAGTAGTAGTAGTAGCAGTAGTGGTCTTCTAGTAGCAGTAGTAGTAGCAGTATTAGTAGTAGTCCTCGTCGTCGTAGTTGTAGTCGCAGTAGTAGTCGTCGCAGTATGCACAACAAAAGTAGCAAGAACGCGTGGTAATAGAAGTAGTTGTCCACACACACACGCACACACACACACACACATGTGTATATATATATATATATATACACATATACATATACATGTATTTATACATACAACATAATACCACATACGCATGTAAACACACACACACACATACACACACACACATATATATAAATATATATATATATATAATATATATAAATATATATATATATATAATATATCTATATATATTGTGTGTGTGTGTGTGTGTGTGTGTGTGTGTGTATGTATATAGAAAGAGATAGAGAGAGGGGTGGAAGAAATTCAAATCATGAGTTTAAATATTCCGTTAGTTCTGAATTGTTGGCATGGATCGTGCACGTATATCACCAAAGATATTGGTGAGTTAGCGCGTCGTTTGTAGACAGAAAACACAATTAAGCGAAAAAAATATGTTTTTATTTTTCAGATTGTCTTTTCAGGTGCGAGAACATGTGTTGTTCGTCAATTATGAGACAAATTCTGCCTCAGAGAGTGCATATGTCTCGTTGTACAAAGATCATAGTTCCGAGAGACATTAAAGGTTGCAAGCCCATGATTCAGTTATTTAATTGTGAGGAAATATTTTGACTAAAATATTCCAAAATGTATATATACATTATTGTTCGGTGTTATTTCTCGTGTTGAATCATTGGTGTGCATTGTAGTTATGTTTGATTTGATTCAAACCTGGCTTGTTTTAGAAGATTGATATGATTTAAATATTCTCGAAAAATAAAATGCATGTTTGTATTTACGCGGCGCGTGTTTGCGCTCGAAATAAATCGTGTTTTGCGTTTTTATTTATGATATTTATTTCGCTAGTTACGCATTTAGTGAAGTGAATATCAAAATATTGATATGTTTTTAGAGGTATATTATAGTTTTTATACAGAATTTATGCTTTCATGTTTTCCATAAGTTTGTTCAGTGGTTGTTGTTTTTTATTGTTGTTAATATTGTGTAATTATGTTTCACTATTGTTCTAGTAGTATTATCAGTTTGCTATTTTATCGGAGTAATTCTATGGTTTGAAGTTATTTTTTTCCGAAATTACGTTACGCAAGTTGATGTTTTAAGAAAGAAAACGGAAACAGAGAAAGACGAACGCAGAGTTTGAGGAGAGCGC